ATGGCCCCTCCAACCACTAGTTACCATACTAATGACTGCACCAGCAAGATTTCACTCTTTTTTCATCCAAGTTATTAACTTACAATATCTTTGCCAGATTGTGATGTAGAGCACAAAAAATGTTAATTTCTTGTCATTTCTAACTTGGTTTCCAATCAAAATAATCTGAGATGGAACTACCCAGCTGATAACTGTCAAGTTTTATATTGAAATATTGAGGGTTGGAATCTTTAACTGGTTACATATTTGTCCCTTACCAAGGGATGGATGGATTTATTTGGTGTAAACACAAAGGATAACCCACGAAAGTCATAAGACGACTCATTTCTAGTAGGATCCTTCTGGTGGTAATTGGGCAGTACAATTGGGTTGGCAGGGCCAACGGCTTCGTATCATCCGAATGATGGTGTGGTATCGTAACTTGTATTATACTGTAGCTCTCCATCTGAAATACAAGCAGAGCAGCGATGGGAATTGAACCGGGGACCAGGAGATCTCTATGGTCCAGCACACACACAGTGGCTACCACCAGTTTAGCCGACTCAGCTAAGCTGCTCTTGTAAGAAAAGGGACTTGGTATCCTACTTCTAAAACATATATAAAACAACTTGAAGGAGTCCAGCATAGAGCAACTAAATATTTTAAATAACAATTATTTAGATTACAAATGCAGACTCCAAAACTTGTAATTTACTCCATTATGTTATAGGTGACAATTTGCTGATATTTTATTACTTTTCCAAGTTATTCAACTCTACCACAATTAATTCAGATAATCTATTTAATATTCATCACCCACACCATGTTACCCTTAGTTTCCTTGTTGGTACACTTTTTGATATTCATTGCCTCAGGACAGAATTCTCATTTCAATCATTTACTTCATGTGCTACCAGAATTTAGAACATATTATTATTCTTTTAAAATTAAACTTTTAAATTATTTCAATAACTATTTCTTTAATAACTTTGATGTTGAAAATATTTGTAGTTGGTCGCTTTCTTGTAGATGTTGCTGTTGTAGAGTGTAATTGTTATTATTATTCTGTTTAGTGTAATTCTTCTGTTTATATCTGTACTGTTTTGGGTTGACCAACTTGCACAGGTGTCTAGCACCTGTTTAGTCTTTCCTTGCCTTTATTGTTTTTGCAATTTAGTTTGTAATGATGTATTTGGTAGAAATCTGAAAGAAATTATCCTTGTCTCTCCCACTCAAGATTTTACCAACTCTATTAACTATGTTTGAATGACTATGCACTGCAACATTATTAGATTCTGCCCATGGAACTGAGTAAGCCATTTATGGATGTTGAAGTTAAAGTCAGGCTCTGGTGGAAAAAATTGTTTTGATATATTGTACAACTGATTTTTCCAAGACACAAAAAAACATAATTGACGAAAAACTCAGGAACGGTTAATGAGATACAGATTTTTGAATATTTAAAAACTGGGGGAAAAAAGAGGCGTAACCACCCTTTTTTCACCTTTAATGTAAAGCATATGATATAGATTGGCAAAATTCTTATACATATGGTGGGATCAAAACATTATTAATTTTATGTTACATTTTACATTTAAAACTAACTTTCTTTTGTGCAGCAGACATACATACCATCTTCAAAGTCCATGTCTTCAACCTCTACTTCTTCATTGACTGCAACAGTTTGTTGTACATGCTTTTCTGTCATAAAATAGAAACCGATCAGAGGATTAGTAACATTTGATGGTTTCTTTAGAGCTCTACCCTTTACACTGCTGGATGCAATAAAGAAATATAAAAAAAAAAACAACATACAGACAATAAATAGACCTACATGATTTTACTGGTTTGATTAATAAATATCTTATGTCTGTGATGTTTTGTATGTGATTGTAGGATTGCTGTCACTACACAAGTATCGTATCACTCATTCGGTAGGTACAGTATACCATTTGATTCAGCATCATAACGTCTTCTTGAATCATCATCACCCAAAACCTTCCATGCTGATTCTAACTTGAGGTATTCCTGCAAAGCAGCTTCTTTCTTACTGTCTTCAACTTTATCTGGATAACACTAGACAGAAAGTAGAATGTTTATAATATTATTACACTATTAATTTTTAGTATTAATTTTTTTTCTGGAGGTTCCCTCGCCCGCCCGTTCATTTTTTTTTTATCTAGTGATGATAAATAAATAGAGAAACGTTGATCCCTGAAAAAGGTCACGGGGGCCCTTATTTTCACTACAAAATAAGAAAGAAAGGGGGAAAGAAATATGTAAAAGGAAAAGAAATGAAAATCGTAAGACAGAAAAGGAAAAGAATAAGAAAAAAGACATAAGAAAGAAATGGAATGGAAAGGAAGCATAAGAAAGAAAAGGAGAGACTAAAGTAGAAAATGAAACATAGAAACAAAAGGAAACATAAGAAAGGAAAAAAAGAAGAAAAGGAAATATAAGAAAGAATAGGAAAAAGATAAGGAAACATATGACAAAAAAGGAAAGTGTAAGAAAGAGAAAGAAAAGAAAATATCGAAAGACATTGGTATAACTGTGGTTAAAAATGAGAAGGTAAAGTAATAAAATGATGAGTCTTGTTACATTTTCTTCTTGTGATATTTATCTTGTTTTTTTCTCTACTGCTTGTTTGACACTGCCCAGCACCTAATTAGGTGGAGATGTTTGCGCTTTACAAATCTTTATTAATTATTATTATTATTATTATTATTATTATTATTATTATTATATTATTATAAGGCCTATTATTATTATCATTATTGTTATTATTAATAGGCATATTATATTATTATAAGGCCTATTATTATTATTATTATTATTATTATTATTATTATTAACAACACGATATTCAAACTTAAAACAATGATTAATTTAGTCTTTTTGCAAGTACACGACTCTCAAACCCATAGGCACAATGAAGGACAGGCCTGGATTTCTTGCAAGACCGTGTGTCCTGGTGACCAAATGTGCGGTGAGTCCCTATCCAGGCCTAGGGCCTAGCCTACTACTATTGCCTAACTAAGCTAAAGTAGTTTGATACTGAATAAATTCTATCTATCAGTCAGTTAAATCAATCAGTAATAATCACGCAATACCGCTTATGACAAACAAAGAGACCAGGAAACAATTACAACAACAACAACAACCAAAACAACAGGAACAGCTTAGCTGGGGTGTCCGGTGTGTAGGGGAAGCTAGAAAATCAGGGGCGGGCGGTGATGCTTAACAAGTATATTTTTTTATTTGGCTTTATAGTTATTTAATATTGCTATTATTGGGGTTGCACTGGGGGGGGGGGTGGGTGGAGGAGGGGTAACAGCTTCCATCCCCCACCATCTGGGAGACCTCCCCCACCCTCAGAGAGAAAAAAACAATTTGTAAGAAGACCAGACTGTATAGGGCCTAGGCCTGCACAGGGAATGTATCCACTCAAATCCTACAAATCCGTCAGCACATTTCGGAATATAAGGGCTGATTTTTGCACAGATTTTGCTGAAAATTTGGCTTTGACCAAATCTTAATATATAAGCAAGGCAATTATGCAGCATTAATGATTCCTCGCACCTATTTTCCTAGCGATTTTGCACACAAATTTGAGCCGATATTTTAGATATCATCTGCGCAATTACAACACTTTACAGTATAGTAAGAAGGGAGAAAAATGACATCATTAGACTCTTTGAAACCCATACTTTTTATACCACTTCCTTGAAATTTTGAATGACGCCCGACCACGCCTAATTACGTTCTCATCAGTGACATTCCCCCTCCATGTCGGGGACATCAAACCCCATTGCGCAAATCCTGGCGCTACCCTGTTGCTATAGGTTTTTTTTTTTTCAAAATTATACACGGGTCTTTTTTTTTACAGTTTTAAATTCTTGTAAGGTCTAGTCGGCCATCTGATTGTAGACTACAATTAGCTGCTTTTGAGTCTGATTGTAGACTCAAAAGTAGCTAAACATTTGGAAACATATTGTGTTAGTCGAGCAAATAGCCCAGGGTTAAGGGTAATTATGACGTCATTCATACAAAAAATTAGTTAAAAACCACCAAAAATGAGTGATTTCTTGCCTGATGCCACCCTGATTCATGAATTGTTCACATCAATGACAAAAATTAAAGTGTTGATTCAGTGTGATAAAATTTTGTATTAAATTTGTATTCATAAACAATGTAGTCGAAGTTCTAAATATGACTAAATCAAGTCCTAGTTTTAGTTCAGCTGAACATGGCTAGCAAGCAACAACTATCAAACTAACAATGTAAAGAGCTAATTTTAATAGCAGACGAAATTGTAGAGCTGCCGTCTGTTGTTTAATAACATATTTCTTCATAATTCGTAATAGAACATCATTCGCTTAATTAATTTTCTGTAATAATAACTACATTAATCGTTAAAATATATAACGATAGAGTAACTTTGCTGTTATTACATGAGGCTACGTGACCGCAAAGCGAGGAGATTTCGTGCAAATCAGGAACTATTGCATGTGCCCAGCAAAACAGGTTGATTTCACGTTTTGAAAGCTGAACTTAATATCTTTTTTCTTGAATACACCGAAGATACATCAGACCTACTTATACAATCGTTTTTATTCTGTTCAGTCTATCATAAGTTACAAAAACATGTTTTTAGTGGGGTAAATATTTCAAGTCTGCAATTTAGCCTGACCCCAGACTGACTAAAAAAATTGGCCTGCGTAGGTATCATTTTAGTCAAGGTTTGCATCATTTAGTCGTAGTGCTAGTCAAAGTTTGTCTTTCGAATAAGAATTACTGGAGTGAATCTATTTCTAGTGTAATGCATTGAATAATGTATTTGTGGTTAGATTTGATTTGATTTGATCAAGACATGAACTATAATAATATTTCCTTCTCTCCTAAGTGTAATACTTATTATCTCCCTGCTACTCTAGTCTTCCACAACAGGGGCTGTTGGTTTACGCAACATTTTTGTGATAACCTTACTTTGATAGTGTCCTCATTTTTTCTGATTTTAGCTAATCCAAGTATTCAAGGTGAGCTGATTTCTTATGGCGTCTCAGGTGAGGGAGTCCCATATGTTGTTGGATCAGAAGGTTTTACTGTTGAGGAAATTACAAAGGTAATTTTTCTATAAAAATAATTCATATCTATAGTTCACCATAAATGATACTACGATAATACCATTCACTTTACACAATATAAAGCAGTGAGAAACCTGCTAGGAAACATTTTAGCAAGGGTCACCTGCTAAATGGTGGCTTTGTGAAATTAAATTCATTTAAAGGCTCATCTGCATGAATTTTTCAGTCTGTAAACTCTATGTAAGAAAATTAGATGTTGTGGTAGCCTATGTAATGCTCATGCAGTGGTTGCAGTTTTGAATATTATTTTGCATCCTGAAATGTTTTATTAAAAATATGAATACAATGTTTATATTAATATGAAGTCATTTTTTTTAAAAAGTTGTGTTATATAAATTATTACTTTTCTCACATTATTAGCCTTGCTCTGAGGAATGGTCATTTTTGTTAATAAAATAATTATTACCTTTATGTTTATTTCACTATCTTATATTTTTTTCTATTACAGAATAGCATAGTTATATCACACCCTGACAAAGGTATCAGGACAAGGTTTATTGCTCCAAGAAACATATTCAGTGATATCCACAACAAAAGTGTAAGTCAGTAAAAGCATAGTAATAAATAACTAGGACTTAAGCCTCATTCGCAGTGAAATTTTTTTTGCAAGACTTACCGACCCGCTGTTAAGTCTTACCTACTGTATGCGAACAGCATACGTAGTAACTTCTCCTGACCGGAAGACTTAATACCAAGTCCTGTTTGGCCAGTAAAACTTACCTAGCCACATCCACTGAGCAAAAAAGTCAAGTCCGAACAGTGTGGCTTGGTAAAACTTCCTGAGTCCTTCACTGGCATAACCTTTGTCAGTTAGCTGACAACCATGCATGCGTCGGTGATCTGCTGTCAATTATTTTCCATGTGTTTGTACTGCCATTTTCTTTTCATTACTCACACCTGCTCTCATTCTCTTGTTTTACCCAGTTAAATTTACCTTTGTAGCATTTTAGCTAATGTGTTTGGCCGCAATACTAGGCCGTTACGTCTCAGTATTATGTTACAGTAGTTGCAAAGCGGAAGTAAAGGTCACAAATTAGTGCCCTCATTAGTTGCTTTTCATGACCGTAGTCTTACCACGAGCCAAAGCTTACCGAGTTGAAAAATCCATGTGCGAAGGATGTTTGCTAATATTTTCACCGTAAAAAGTCAAGTGCAATTGCGGCATTAACATCTCAGTCTCATAGATGCAACAATTCACTACCTCACTTTTTTACATAGCTCCTTTAAGCTTAAGTCGCCCTCACAACTCGACTCAACCCAACTGACTTTTACTACTTTCTAGCAACTGGTGAGAAACTGAAAGAAACTGCAAATCACATGTTTTTTCTTTATTCAATTTATTGCAACTTACAAACAGATAAAGAAGGAAGCGAAAGGACAGGTTCCACAGACTCAAGGTCCAAACAAAGGGAAAATGCCCAGGACATAAAACAAGACATCAGAAATACATATAAAACTCTCATATATAAATACAATATCGTTTCCAGACAACGTGCGATCTGATTGGCAGTTGCTAAAATTGCCCCATGTTCTATTTTACTTTGATTCACAGCAACTGGCAAGCAATTGATTGGTCATGTGACATTACTCACCCAGTGGCTCTAGACTATGCAATGGTGCCATGTGCACTAACGTTGTATTGTATCTGGTATCGTTTCATCATTCCATCTTGATCTTCCATCTCAATCCGTTACATATTGGTCTGTGCTTCCTCCCCCCCCCCCATCTGACCTACTATTATGTATTTGTCTATCAACTCTACTGCTTCAAGCACATATTGGTTAGTATATTGCCCATCTTTCCCTCTCAGCATGGCTGATTTCAGGGGAATCCTCTCACATAAAAACTTACTTAAGTCCAGTGAAAAATATGCAAAAAAATAATTTATTATTCTTTCGAGAACACAGAAAAATACAATAAGATTAAAAGAACATACATTTCCAGGTTAAGAAAATAAAAAAGCCAGAATCATAATTATTCAAGTTAACTAGCGCCGTAGAGCGAGATTTGTTAGATTTGCTATGTGCGTTTATAGCTTAGCCTACCAGCAAAATATTCTATCGCGATGTAATATAGTAAAAAAACCCCAGCTTTGAACTTTTTGCACACGAGATGCAAAAAATCAGAGGCACTATATCAAATTAGTGATCAGTCAGGGATAGGAAATTTCAGTGCAAATGAAAGTGATGAAATCACCACAGACTTTTAAAATATACATTTCGGCATACCTCATATATTTTTACAGAAAACTTAATAGTGTAAACAAAGCTTAAGAAATCAGTATTTTTATGTTTTTCTTAGATTGTAAGTTTGGATGTGTCATCCGCAGGAGCATTGGGCGTGTCTGCGGGTATGGATGGTCTTTTGAGGATATGGCAGACAGACTCTGGAATTGTCAGGGTGAGCTTCATCATGTTTTTACTAATATAGAAATTGCTTCTAATATTTAAATTAAGGCTTTTTGTGTAACCAATAAATACTAATGCAATATGCATTTTTGTATTATTTTTACATCATTTTGAGATATTCACCAAAACAGGCCAAAGTCAACATTTTTACAAAATTTTGATTTTAATGTTTTTGAATAACTTGATACTTATATTTTATGTTTGTATACTTTTTAAGTGAATTTTCTTGCCAAAACAGTGTTATCTGCACATATTCTGTAATTCTAGTTAATATTATTTGTACAGGTTAGTTTATCTTTGAGGCTGATTTTCTCAAAACGTGGTTCTTATACACCTAAACTTTAAATGCTCACATCTCTGGATTTACTTATAGTAGGGAAGCCATTCAAAGACCAAATGAAAGCTTATAATGTGATCTACCCAAATATAATATAAACTCAATTTTTGAATTTCTACCCATGAGACTCATTTTGTGGCGAGACCTCACATTTTTTTATGCAATTTGATGATATGTGATATGATGTCATCGTATCCATATATAGGCACATCACATTTTTTTTGTCACATAAAAATTTATAATGTAGACAGCTTAAAGCCTTGTGTAGACTATCAAATTTTATTAGACAAAACCATGTGACATGCCCGTGGTCATGATGACATCACATCTTGACCACATAATATGGACATACTGTACTATGGTGTTTTGTCAAATAAAATCAGCCCATGAATTTCACATCGGCAATCGGCAATTGCCGGCCATATTGCCGAGCCAGAATTGCTACAGGATGGCAATTTTTTTCCGACATAGGCCTAGATTTCTTTGCTTCAAAAACAGGTTGGAAAGTCAAAAACTTTGACTGAAACAGCCTAGTATAGGTAGGAATGACGCTAGCCAGCCAAGGCCTAATCAATCGCCCAATTGAAGCCATGTGAGCCACGTAGATCGTAATGCTTATCTAAATCTATTATTTGTCTTCATTTTACAGTATTATTATCATATTTAAAATGTAGTTTATTGTCTAAAAACAACAAAATTCAACATATTGTAGGCCTAATCCTTCTTTGCGTTTAAACGCAATCAAGATCACATCGTGACTTCACTACTGTACTGACAAGTACACTGTACATGTGTGGAAAATCCATGATAGATCATTCTGGGCATGCGAATGGACATGCATGGGCAATTTTGAAGCAGCCTGTGATGATACGATCGTAGCTTTTATGAAAGTGATATTTCCCATGCCAAAGATAACGATAAAACGAACGCTAAAACGAAATTTATTCGGCGGTTTTCTTATGTAAAACATATGTAATATACTACACTATTAAATTAATACAAGTACAGTACGACCATTCTTTCACCAGTAATATATTGATTTAATAGAGAAATTAACAAAATCCCAATCTGTAGATGACAATGTAAGGTCGAGTGTTCGGAAAAAATTGTAGTTTATACTACATAAGCCTAGGTAGTAAAAAATTTCCGAGGCTGCCGACCTTGGAGAATTTAAGGTCGGCCAATTTTTGCCGACCTAAATTTTTCCTAATTTCATGGGCTGTAAAATTTTATTGTGTGGACAAAAATTTAGGATTAATTTGGTAACTTAATTGTACCCCTTTCAAACTATCAGTGGGACTCCCAGAGTAAACTCGCTTTTACTTCACCGTTGTCCGTACACTGGGTTTTAAACACCGGAGTTGAGGTTAATGTAAATTGGTGAACGTCAATGACTCCTGTGAGCTGAACATGAGCTCAACGATCGGCATCGGAACACACAGTGTAGACAGTCGCGACTTTCACAATCCGGGATTTTAATCATCCCCTTTCATAAAAATTATTTAGTTGTTTCTGTAATAATATAACTATGTATATTTTGAAGGTATTTAGTTAAAATAATAAAGATAATATAAGTTATATTTTATTGCTTTGGATTGTATTTTTGTTTAGAAATTAATTCGGTTTTTACTGTACATATACACTGTAATGTTTTCCCCCTGCGAAAGTAAACTTGATTGCAGACTAATGAGCTAGTTTTCCTCAAAAATGTCTATAGAGGGCAGCATTCACCACCAGTGTTCAGCCGGTGTTGGTTGTCAAGTGTAAATGGGTGTGACCCGAAATCATCCCGCAGTTTCTTTGTTAAGTGTAAATGGGTTTTGGCTCCAGTGTCTCACTGGGGTTTGTTTTGGCTTGATAGTGTAAAAGTGGATATTATCTGTATCATGGTTTAAAAGATTCCCACACGAATAAAATATACGAGAGGTACTGGGTAAAGACGAATTGAATTCTTGCCTCGCACAAGGTATCCATTCTTTGAAGTCTTATGAAGATAAGACTATCCAGTACTGACATTAGAGGGTCGGGACCAGAACATACCTCCAACTGTAAATTGACAAAGATAGAAAATTGTTAAATGCAGACACAATGTATAGGCCTACATAGAGTCTGACCTTAAAACACAAAAAGGTGTAATTTAAAAATAAGCTTATTATAATGATGTATGTGTAAAGTAACATGTTAATTATGAATAAGAATAACGCAAAATATAGAAGAAGAATAGAGGAAGAAGGAAGAATAGGAAATGAACTCGGAGCAGCTGAAATATTTTACCGAAAATAAACAATAATCATTTTGTCATAATATTGCTTCACATTTTTGTAGCAAATTTTGGACACTTCATCAGAGGTCAAGGTGTCAAGCCTACATGTTTTGTAATTTGACATCAAATCCTACTTACGTGATTTCCAAGATTTCTTTATATGAAAAGAGCAGCGTAATTAATAGTTTACGATAGACAACAGTATTAATGAAACAATCATTAAATTATAAAAATAAACAAAATGTCTTTCCTTAAAGTCAGTTAATAAGAGTCAAAGCACTTAAAAATGAACTCTAATATCCTTCAAGAAATCAATCAGGGTTCCATAATTTTAGATCGTTAGTAATAGAATATTTGATTTTTGAACATTATCTTACTGAACGCTGCAGTCAGCCACATTGTAAAATAGAATTAAATTTTCATTGAATTAAATTAGTGTTTTGATGTGTTTTTCCATATGAAACTAGTTATGGAAATTTAGCCATGGGGAAACATTATGCAACATGGGAATGAACTATGGGACCATTGTCGAGACTTCAACCCTGATTTCCTAATCACTTCATCTGCATGTGAAACCTTATAATACCCTTGAGATTCAATGCAATTGAAAAATTATCTCTTTTTGATGATTTCCCAATATATATTCAGTGATAACAATTTGATATGAAATGTGCTGTTTCAAACTATCAGTTTATTTTATTCCAGAGGGAGCTATCCGGACATCTGGGTGACGTAAATTGCTGCCGTTTCTTCCCATCTGGCTTGGTTGTTCTGAGCGGAGGCAGTGACTTGCAACTGAAGATTTGGTCTGTAGAGGATGGGAGCTGTCCCGTCACTTTACGAGGACACACTGCTGGTTAGTTATTTACCTACTGCCATTCCGTCTGATAGTCCCTAAATTTTATGTTAATTGCTAACCTTTACTTCTACTAAATATACAAATAATGAATATTTATAATTACTTTGAGATAGACTGTTTTCATTTGGTAGAACAAATGTTATTTTCAAATGAATATTTATAACTACTTTGAGATAGACTGTTTTCATTTGGTAGAACGAATATTATTTTCAAAACTTTAAGCCGATTTGAATGAAACATTTTATCTTTCACCAAATGAAAATATCTAGCAAAAAATACCCCAACAAGTCACTCCTCGAAAATCATGTTTCAGAGATATGGCCAAAACATGTTGTATTGTCAACATTTTCAAAATCTATTAATAACTTAAAATCAATTTTAGCTTGTCTTCCATTGTACATAGATACAGAGAAACATTCATTATATTTTATTTATGCATCTATTTTCTAAAAATCTTGTTATTTGTTAGGTAGGTTTATATTGTTATATTGCTAGTGTTTGCTTTGACCCATTTTTGCTACCCAGATTGTCTGCACTTGTAGTGTCAAATTGTAAAAGGCGGTGTGCAAATAACCTAAATTTTTCTACTTTTCCCAAGGCGGTAATGTTCATAGGCTGGAATTAAAATTGTAGGGTGAAATCGGGTAGTGGAACCAAAAATTTAAAGTGACGTCAGTTTTTGCAATATTCAACATTTAGTTAATCCCATATGACTACTGTATAATTAACCAATCAAATGAAAATTATTGTTATGTATAATAACAATTTATTAATAGAGTAATAGTCTGCATTGTAGGTTGATGTTATTTTTGTACAATGAACTGCAAGTACACTGACCCAATTGTGAGTGGAACTTTCCAATAACTATTAAGCTACTGTAGTCTTCTTTATATGAGGCTTGATAGTGGAGGTAATCTTCAACTTTAACTAATAGTCAACATCTGGGTGACGTGAATTGCTGCCATTTCTTCCCATCTGGCTTGGTTGTTCTGAGCGGAGGCAGTGACTTGCAACTGAAGATTTGGTCTGTAGAGGATGGGAGCTGTCCCGTCACTTTACGAGGACACACTGCTGGTTAGTTATTTACCTACTGCCATTCCGTCTGATAGTCCCTAAATTTTATGTTAATTGCTAATTTTTTCTCATAATTAAAAAGACTACTATATGACTACTGTATAATTAACCAATCAAATGAAAATTATTGTTATGTATAATAACAATTTATTAATAGAGTAATAGTCTGCATTGTAGGTTGATGTTATTTTTGTACAATGAACTGCAAGTACACTGACCCAATTGTGAGTGGAACTTTCCAATAACTATTAAGCTACTGTAGTCTTCTTTATATGAGGCTTGATAGTGTAGGTAATCTTCAACTTTAACTAATAGTCAACAATCTGCTTCAAACCTGATGATGTCATTTATGCTGTTCTCAACATGGAAGGCTGCATTTCTGAAGTTCATTCTTGGCTTGCCAAGAACATGCTTTCATTTAATGCTAAGAAAACAAAAAGTTTATTCTGAAGCATAAGCCTTATATCCTCACTACCTATGACCTTACCACTGGCGGCTGTCTAATCTCACCATCATGCAATGTTCTCACTTCTTATTTCTGAAGTTCATTCTTGGCTTGCCAAGAACATGCTTTCATTTAATGCTAAGAAAACACAAAGTATATTCTGAAGCATAAGCCCCATACCTATGACCTAACCACTGGCGACTGTCTAATCTCACCATCATGCAATGTTTTTACCTTGGCGTAGTCTTTGATGATTGCATGTCAATGGTATCATACATCAACAACTCTTCTAGATCAGTCTCATTCGCTATCCGTAACCTCAGACAGATCAGGCATTTTCTTGATGAAGCAGCCACAAAGAAGCTTGTTCATGATCTGATTACCTCAAAACTCAACTACTGTAACAGTGCCTAAGTTGGTTTGCCTTGTACCGTTCTACGAAGATTACATATACAGCTGTTCTGCTGTTCGAATTATATCTGGCAGTGGTATTCCCAAATTTGAACACATTAGTCCCACACTTGAAGAAACTTCATTGGCATCCAATCACTGAGGAAAGTTCAAAATGCTCCTTTTTTTTTTTTTTGCACCATTGCACTCCTCATTACATCTTGGAACTTATCACACTCTGTTCAGCTAAATGTGAAAGGTCATTATTAGGCCATTACATCTATAACCCAGCATGCGCCTACCTGTCATTTGAAGACTTATAGAGAAAGGTCTTTTTCAGTTGTTGACCCAAGCTCTGGAATTCACAAGCACAATCTGTTCAAGAGTCTCCTAAGCTGATGATCTTTTTCTTTTCCTTTTTTTTTTTCTTTTTTTTTTTTTAGATCACTTAAAAGTGCTGTCTTATATCATTCTTATTTGACAATCTCTGATATTCCTCTACTCTTCTGTTTTGTTTTCACTATACTTTATTTGTCTTGTACTTTTCTTTTCTACCACTTTCTTTTCTGTTTCAACCATTTATTCTGGTTTTTTTTTTCTGTTGTCCTGGAAAGCACATAGAGATGAATATTATATTAATTTGTTCTATACAAGTACACAAACATTTACCATTGAAAAAGACTCTGTGATTAGGGCTTAGCAACAATGCTATAGCAGCTTCACCCCAAATTCTGACTATTTTATTCATCTATTCGAGGAGAGTGAAATAAAGAATAAAGTATTTTTTACAGTTTCAGTTTTATTGAACAATTGATTGTGCTGAACTGTTTGGATGATTAATAAATACATATTTGCTGCCCTCTGGAGATTCTAATAAGTGAAATTATGACATCATCCAAAAGGAAAATGAAAAATACAAATGTACATTCTACAGGAAAACAAAAAACATTGAGAAATCTTACTTAAACTTACAGTAGAGCCAGCTACTACTTGGTACTTGATATTTGCCATTCCATGTCAGAAATATCTGGTTGTCATTGACTGATAAATAGTTGACTTAAAACCATTGCTAATTTGCTCATTTGAGAGAGAGATCTCGAACTGGTGCTTTACAATGATTTATAGCGTAATATATTTAACAAATAATTAATTCACATAATAATTTAATAAATTGAAGAAAGCAAACATCTGTCTCCAGAACTCTTTAAAAAACAATAATATAGAACATGGAAAATTCTTGTGAGTAAACCAATGATAATATGTACTGTTTGTAATGTTTTGACCCGTTGTCAATGGGTCTTCATCAGACAATGACTGTTTTGCTAGTTGTTGACGTTTCCCGATGTGGTGGGCTGCCCTCTACCAGTTGTTTCAGGACTAATAAGTTGGTTGTAAATATTAGAAAGTTTGTATGCGCTGTCTTCTCTGTCCATGTTGTTTGTATGTTTACGAATCTAAAATAGCCTCTTGTATTTGTCTTTTTTGTCTGTTGCATCCAGTTTTTATGACTATGTGAGTCTGGCCAGTCGGGGATATCGTTGAGTTTTAATTATGATCTCTGACAGCTGATTTGTGTTGTAGGTCTAGGGTGGATTGGAAAGACTAAGTTGTTCTGGTGATGAACCCTTTAGTTTTAACTGTAACATCCTTCTTATGTTCTGTGAGTCTGGTTTTGAATGTATATTTTGTAGATACTGTACATTGTAGACACCACATTTTATCTTCATCTCTGATCTTATCTTTTGGGTGTACTAGATGATGTGAGAGCTTGGTAATGAACTTGAAGAAGGCATCGATGTTATGAGCTTTTAGTGCATGCTTTATCTTTTCGGATAAACCTTTCACATATGGTAGACCCTATAGAACCTCTACTGTGATTGGATGTCTGTTGTTGTTTGTCCAATTTTACAATTTTGTTCACAGTTCAATTAGAGTAACCACAGCCACACAAAGCTTGTTTTATGTTTTTCATTTCCATTTGATGTTCATGTCCATTGAAAACAATGTGACATATGTCAATCAGGGAAGTTTGTGTTGAAGAGGGTGGTTAGATCTGTACAGTTATGTAGATGCTGGTTGGTGTGAGTAGGCTTCTGTAGACTGTCGTTAAGAGTTTGCCATCATCTTGTAACAATATATCTTGTGTTTTTGCTACGGTTGTAATGTTATAAATTGTAAAATTGCTATTATTGTTGTTATTATCTGTATTGAATCAACCGAGTGATACCTTTACTGTCATTGTATTGTTTAAAATATATCCCAAAGCATAAAGTACCCAAGGCCAGCATACTGCCTCATGGAGTACACTGTATGCACACATTAGCTATGGTAACATATCCATGTACAGTGGAGCCCTCTAAATACTAATTTTTGTTTCTACATTTTTAGCTCTAGGGGTATTCTGCTCATTGATTAATAGATCTTTTTTGGTCATTGATTAATAGATCTTTTCTGTATAGGCGGCCGTTAGGGCAATATACTCTACCGCCTCTATTATACTGCTGATTGATTAATAGATATTTTTGGGTCCGCGTCGCCAGTTTTGAACGGACGTGCAGGAACTTTTGTACACATGGGGGATTTCCAACAAACGTTGATTGCCCCCTTTTTTTAAGTTGGACCCCAGGGCGGCCCATACTACACCAGCAAAACAAAACAGGGGTTTCAGCAAGGATTGTATATCACTGCCATTACCACTAATAGGACACGTTGATAACGATCGGTTAACAAAGTGTTCTAAGGAACCAAAGGTCATAAGTTCTAATCCCGTGTTTGTATTCAATTTTTAATTTCAATTTTAAGACATTATATTTTTTCAATTTTAGCACATTTTTTTGTAATGACTATACTGCCCTCATCAGAGCTTTCAAGATTACGAGAACTTGTTATATCATACATTGAATGAGGGGCTTGTGGAAGATACAGTACTAAAACTATGGACTACATTTAAAGTAATTGATTCATGTAAGGTTTTTACCACAACATACATTAGACCAAATAAAAAAAAAATTGTGTTGGCCACGCCTGACCGACCCAAAATGTACGAAATTGAGGTTAGGCATTCTATTTATTTATTTTTCTTGTTTTGACTACAATGAAATATATATTTTTTTTAATGAGCTAAAAAGCCTGGAATAAGACTATCTTGTTGGACAGTGGTGATGCGACAGTGGTATGCGATCATTTTGCTTTTAACTATAGATTTAAAAATGGCATTTGTTATATTTTTGTAAAACACGTTTTTGGTAAACTTTTCCTACCGACACACCCATTTTTTGGATTTTCCAAAGACATGGCCAACACAAGAATTTTTTTTTTCTTGGCCGTATGCATAAATTATAATGTAACACACATTTCACTCCAGGAATATTAGGTGTTGCTATTGTGGAAAAAGGAAGGAATATTGTATCCTGCTCAAGAGATGGATCCGCAAGGCTTTGGGATTGTGGAAATGGTTCTTGCCTAAGTGTTATCTACAAAGGCAGCAGCGCCATCAACGCCTGTGCTGTTGGAGTCGCAGATGACTCTCTCAATCTTGGAGTGCCTGATATTCCACCCAGTGAGTTAAACATGTTTTTTATGAGGAAAAACCAACAGTAACGATCCTGTTTTTTTTTTTTGTTTGGGTTGTAAACTATTTCCTTATATACTGAGAGGATGTGATTAATCTATTGTTTATTATACAAGTTGATGCTGGATGGGCTTGTGGTATATAACACAAGCAATGAGTGCATTTTTGCGGATATGGCATTGTACAAGTTGACAGTTGGACATTTCAAGCCTAAGTTATTTGAAAGTGAAAGTATAGTACTCTTAGGCTACGGTCACACTAGAGTCTCAAGCCTGGCTTGACTCACCGCGGGTGAGATTTTCGTAATGTGACCGCACCTGGATCGACTCGCGCCTGGCGTGACCTCGATCTCAATCTACATATCTCGATCCCGGCTCAGTACCCAGATTGACCCTGGCGTGACCGGGATTGACATTTCCTCGTCGGCTGTCGAACAATCACAGTCGATGACGCCGTTGCGTTTAGAAGTTCTTGAATAAAAAACCTGTGGTAATCATCAGTTGTCATTTATAAATGCACTTATCAATCCGAAAACTAGCATCACCATTACATCCGAGCCTAGTACTAGATCATCTAGATTCGCGGTATTTTGATTGTGGCGGTGCTCTAACTTCCTGTTTCGACTTTCCTAATTTGGAGGTCAATCCAGCTAAATTCAGATATAGTGTGACCGACCCAGAATTTCGAGCCTGGCTTGAAATCTCACCCATGGTGAGTCAAGCCAGGCTTGAGACTCTAGTGTGACCGTAACCTTAGAGTCAAGATAAACATGATTTAGATTAATTGCCTTTCAAAGTTATTTGTGCATACATTGTTTAATAGAATGAACTATCAAAATAACATTAAATAAACAAGTTGTTGACCACTTCCAGTACTAATACTTTGGGACATGATTAAAAGACATTAAATTGTTGATCTATAGTGAAAAACAAATTTGGATTTTTAGGCAAATTTTTGAGCTCCCATATTTTATAGCTCATTTACTCAATACTGGACTGTGCGACAACTCAACCATTTCGCCACGACATGCCTCCTTTGATTGGACTAGGGCTTGGTGGTGATGATGGTAGTAGTAGTGGTGATAATGCTGAGGATGATGACAATGAAGGCGACAGTGATGATGATAATGAGGATGACAATGATGATGATAATAGTGACAATGATGACATTGTCGATGACAATGATGATATTGATGTTAACATCGATATTGACATTGACGACATTAACAACAATGTTGATAATAATGTTGGTGGTACTAATGAATATTTTACAATTTGTTAACACAGTTATTTTATATTCTCTTTAATTATCAAATCTTAATGATCTCTAATTTCTGTATGCAGTGTTGTTTTAACCACAACTTAGTTTTTAATTCATCTTTTACTACCATAAACTGTTCAATGTATATATCTTTAATAATTTTTTCATATTTAATGAATCCCTCGTTTCTTCACATACGCTTCGCAACTCTGACCATATCGAACCCGTTGACAAACATTACAAAACTGAAACCTACAGAAGATTCTTCTTCAATTGAATTGTTCCAATGTGGAACAAACTTCCTCATCCCAAGCTCCACAATGTCTGGTTTTAACAGGGTTCGTATCCGTCCTTGAATTCTGTGAATGTCCTGGAAAAACAAATGAGCATTTTCCAGAACTGCAAAGTCCTGGAAATTGTACTTGAATGTCTTGGAAATTTGATCATTTACCATTTAACCAGTACTGAAAGCTTGCCTAAAACAGTAAATTGAATGAGAAACGTTCCCACAACTAGGTTACCACGATACTCTTGTGCGCCGCCAATTCAGGAAAGTCATCAAAGACAGAAAAAATGTCAAATGCTGAAAATGGCTGAGAGGCTGGCTCAGTACAAACTTGTGTGATTCAGTAATAAAATGAAATTGTTCATCTATATTTTAGTAAGGCGGTGCTTTCTTAATCTTGTATATTAATTATGGTTACATGTAATTGTAATTCAGACATTTATAATCATAATCTTAAATCATAAACATTTATAAATACCTAAATATATATGAAATAAAATGAATTAAGGTCTCCGCAACGTACACGCATTGAAAAAGGCAATAATTGTTTACTGATCTATGTCAACTTTGCCAAAGCTGAGACAGTTATCATTCGTGGAACAACAACCCTGGACAGGCGTGTACTCCACCCCACAGCGCCACAAAAGAACCGAGTCATTCTGGCGCGCCGGTAACACAATCATTTAAGCGATAAGATAGATAGACCATTGTGTATGCGCACATTTGTGTTGCCGAGGAGAGAATTCTACTCCAGTTCAACTGTAGGCTATCAGCCCTGCCTTACTTTACTTCCCCATACTTGTGGGATTTCCTTTCGTACCAACAAATTTTTACGTGTGTAAGAAAAACAGAATTTCCCAAGAGCGTGAGAAAAAGAAACAGATCCATCGCCTCCAAATTAGAGTAAATTTAATATACACTCAACTAACATGCATTTAAAATTAGTACCTAGCATACAGTACATATTTTATAATCAATCGTCGATATTTTACTGTTAAGCGATATAATGTGTCCTTGAAATATGAACAATTTGACCTGCAAATATCCTGAAATTTTGCTTGTTTAAAAACGTATGAACCCTGTTTTAGGTGAGCCTTACCTACATTCTATGTGCCTCTGTTTATCAATGAGTTTGACTGGACCATTGCATGCACTTGGGTCACAAAATGTTTTTGTTCTTTATGGAGAACTTTGTAATTTTGCTTGTTTGGTTTTATTTTTTCGACTTGCATATTTGTTCGCTGTTGGGTCATGTGCATTATGAGAATGTGTCGGTTTAGAGGTGCTTACACACCTGTTGACACGTTCTTACACTAGAATTTCTTTTTATGTGTCAATATGATTTCAGTGGAAAGTCGAAGCAAATGAAATCTATTAATTGTGCAATACTGAAATGAATTAAATATATAAAATAATAATTAAGATAATGAATGATCAAAACAATTTATTTATATTATGTTTCATTTTAAATACACCAAACATGTTTTCAATTAACTGTATCATATTGACTTTTCTGTTTCATGAATTTCTTCGAAAAATGTCTCCTATTTGATTTGCAATAATACTGTACTAGATGTAAAATCCAACCATAGAGCCTGATAGTTGTTGATTATTTTTCGTTTTTCTAATGATAATGATCCAACATTTATGATGTCACTAATGGTGATAATCACAATGATGATTGATGGATTTAATCTGATTATTTCAATTGATTGCCTGAATTTCGAATTCCCTCTGCAGGCGAAAGAGAGATAGCAACCGGAGACAAGCTATTAGTACTAGCCTGCGAAGATGGAGTACTGATAGGCCTTGGATTGCAGAGTCGTAAAGAGGTTAGAACTATTTAAATATCTTTAAAATAGTCTACTTGATTATTAGCCGATATTGATGGCTGTCAAAATTACTTATTTTGAATTTATTACATGAGTCATTATTTTTAAAGATTAATATATCTGCCAAAAGAATTTATTGTATAGTTTTCGTATATAGGTATATGGAGAATAAGTGTGAAGAGGAAGGGAAATTGTGTATAGTAGTGGGATAAGTTTCTGGTGAGGTGGGAGTCATGTTTTTAGATAAGGGGAAAATACTTGATATAAGGGGGAAAAGAAGAATGGAAAATTGTCTGAAGAAAGGAGGATTTATAATAATGTTAGGTTTGTATATCAAAAAAGTGGTAGAAACGTCAATGCATTGAACAACAATGCAAAAGTAAAAGCCATAAAATGAACTTTAATTCATAGTTAGAATATCTCTGTTTACCTCTACAAGGCAACTTACTGAGCAAAGTTTACCCTCTCATGACTTACAACTTGCCACTACTGATGTTTTTTTTTTTAAGTTTTCTGGTCTTTTAAAATAAATAAAATGAAGATACTGTAACTGTATGTAATCAAGTGAAAAGAAAATAACAGTCTATAAATCAAATAGAGGTGAAAGTCAGTTTAGCAGCTGGTCAAGATAAGTCTTCAGATGTTTCCTTTTGAAAATAAGGGAATCAAAATGTTTGATCAGCTGAGGGGAAAACTGCCTGAAAAAGTGGAATTAAAACATTTGAAGCAGAGAGGGGTAAAATTTCTTGTTAAAGGTGAGGAATGCCTGTAGAGGAAATCGGTATAATTATTGAACAGATGTAGGAAAAATGCCTTTATTTTTTTATTGAAATAACCCCTAACAAGTCACTGGGGAGGCTACTGCATTTCGAGGAATTCCTTTTTAAGCAAGTCAAATGATCGAGTGGTTAAAGCAGGGGCGCAACAACCTATAGCCATAATATCAGCGCTGGTTCGAGTAGCTGGCTCGCATATGGTTTTTATTGGTAACAAATCTCCTTGGATAAGGACTATAAACCATAGGCCAAGTGTCATTAAAGAACCCAGTACATCTTTCTAGATGTGTGGGGTGGGGTCCCCTTTGCACTGGTCCATACAGCCCCTTTTACTCTGCCGTTATGGGTCATAGGTTCTTTGCAGAATGTATTACGTAAATGTAATCGTTCATTAAATACACATGTCATCTGGGCTAATTATTTCATATAATGCGTGCTAGGGTATCCAAGAATGGCTGGTCATGAAAAGACAGCCAGTGGTTATAGATCCCGAACACAAAATCAAAAACCATAGTAGAATCTGCTGCGCCAAACGAAGTGTCTCCTTATTGTATAAGTTGTCACAGTCAAGTTTAAACAACATTGTGGGGTGGGTTGTTTTTTGTAAATTCACAGAGGAAATTTAGTTTAATTTATTTTATGTTTCAGATTTTCCGTATAGAACATGAGAAAGCTTTTAATTGTTGTCAGATGCTTTCAAAGACATGTATTGCAGCAGGAACACAGGATGGCAAGATCTTTTTAGTCGATATCACGGATCCAAGGTAATGCTTATTATTTCTACAGTGCCATAACCGGGGGAGGTAGGTAGGGTGCTCTCGGTGCCTGAGCACCTCCCTTTTTGTTCAAACGTGGAAAAAACAGTCAAGTACTGGAAAAAAGTGGCAAAGTAAGTTACATTGGGCGTTAAAAACCAGTTTTATGGTGTATAACCAAGTGTAATGTTCATTGGATGTAATATTTCTATTCACCACCCCGCTTTTTAATATCCTGGATACACCACTGTTGCAATGCTGTTTCAAGGACAAATACATAGCATTTGATCACGCCATCGCATAAGTTCTTGATAAATACAGTAGTCTATTTGCTGCCCTCTGTTGATTAATTCTTTAACAAAAATGATAATACCTATATTTTTGTGCAATCTAATTTACTTTTTCTACCGCATTTTTTTTTCCTGGTGGTACAAATAGATGAGATGATACTCTACTTACTTTGCAATTGTTATGGTTTAGCGGCAGTAGGGTCTTGAAGTACATTGACCAATGAGTGGGCATTTTGATTGACGTCATTAGCCTTTATTTGCCGGCTTTACAAAATGTTTCCTTGTTCAAATGCAGCCTTGACTGGTTCATTCAAAAAGGTTTTTTCCATTTTTTTTTTTTTTTTTAAGTGTTTGAACAAAAGACAGCTTGTTTAAACAACCTTGGTGAAGATTATATATATGTCATTTAGTGCTCTATTAATTTTGGTGTTATTACTGTAAACTTAAGGTATTACCTAAATTACATTCTGTGACATCTTCTGTTTTTTCACAAATGCTTGTCTGAGGTTTGTATTGTTTACAAGTTTACAAACCTTTTACGTAAATGTACAGTCATCATGTTCTAAGAATATGTGAATGATTTAGTGACCCAGTAAACCCTAGCGATGAAAACAAGAAAATTTTAAATATAGTGCAGAGTGATGTTGGTTCTGAATGTTAACATACGGTGGTGGTAGAAGCCATGCGGTGTTGGGTAAAGGTTTCGGCTTTCAACGGCAGGTCGTGAGTTCAAGACTGATGCTGTTCACAGTCTTTGTGTCCTTGGGCAAGACACTTTATATTTACATTTGCCTCTCATCACCCTGGATTATTTATTATGGTTTCCTGGTAGATGCAAATACAAGATGCTCTTTATTGTCAAATGCCAAATCCAAGATGAATTTCATGTTGCATTTCAGAATGTGAATGATCTCAAATGAAATTTATAATACCAAATTGCTTGCAGAATATAAATACATAAATAAGATTTTGTTAATAGTTTGATGTGGAACACGTTTTAATTATAAGTGCTCTGATAATATTTTGTAAATAAATTATTGAATTTTTATGTTTGTGATATAATCTTACCTAACAAAACCAACCGCATTTACATCAAAACTTAGGTACAGACTTAAAATACAAACTTCCAATTTTATAATACGTCACCGGCTCGGGGAAAACCAGTCGTTTGTTTGGAAAATTAAATAACGGTGAGTCGAATGGTTGAGCGGTTAGCAGGGGCGCCGCAAGCCATAGCCTAATATCGGCACTGGTTCAAACGGCACGCTCGCTTAAGGTTCTGGTGGTAGAACAAGATAAGGATTATAAACCGTAGGTCTAGTGTATACAATGGCTAGTGTGCACTGTAAAGAAGCGTTTACATCCTTCGAGACGAGTAGGAGGATACTCCGGTGTACTGGAACAGACAGCCCCTGTGATGGATGACGAGAGTTGCTGGTACCAGGTTACCAGGTAGCACAGACACGAAGGGACCCTTAGGGGCGAAGAAAATCATTGATCGAGTTCCTAGTCCACATATCAAGCACCCTGAGCATCTTACATTAGATGGATTTGTGCGCTATACAAAACTACACAATTATTATTATTACTATTACTATTATTATTATTATTACTATTATTATTATTATTATTATTACTATTATTATTATTATTATTAATTTTTTGGTATTTTTTTATTCTGCATGAATTATATTTTAAAAGAGTGAATATTTAATTGATTGGATATTAGCCATGTAGGTTTTAAGAAGCAGCTTCCAAAGATTTCAAAATCAGTAGTTTATTAATATTAAGATTTATATTTTTAAAAATATGTTAATATACTTTTCATTGAGATTTAGTAATTGATATTTTGCAGAAATGTTCTTTAAATATCTTCTTTTATAAAATATAAAAACCTGAAAATGTTCAAAATTCTGATTCTTGCATATTTTTGGATGCTTATGCAAAATTATAGATTGTGACAAACGGCGGGTTTTGCCAGAGCCGGTCACATATTAAATACATTAGCCACGTAGTGGATTAAAGTTTATATTTTTATTTTTGTCAATCATCGCATCTATTTGAGGTCAGAGTAATATCACCGAGACTTCAAGACAACCTTGAACCAAGATTATTCTCAGAACCCACTTATACATCGTGTACCGTAAGGTTATCTATCTATTTAGTTTGCAAACATACATCTTCAAATTGGTGGCACTCGCAAAAAAGGCACGTACTCAAGTTAATTACAAAAACGTCACTACCATTGTACCTAAGTAGAACAGCTCTAAGTACATGCTCAGGAAAATGACTAATAAAATTAAAAACTAACAGTATTATTTTTAATTGTTTATGTAATAATAATATAATATAACAATGATATAATATTTAAGGTAAACAATGCTTGTCTATAGGGATTATGATATAATTATATTAAACATAATACACTGTTGATTGATACAGTATTATAACTAGAGTTTGAACTTTTTTTGTAACATAGATACATAGATTACATGAGATAATATGATGATAATATTATTAATAATAGTTAATTGATATGTTAATGTATAGAAATGTTGACAACATTCACACTTGATGCAGTAACATTTGATTATTTGTTTCCATTTGACCACAGTTCTAATTTTTTTTTTACATGTATATTATGTAAACCTAACAGTTATACATTTTATTTTTCAATTAGTATTTTTATTGTTACTTTTACGTTTTTTAATGGAGATCAGTCGCTAATGATGTAGATACTCTTTCAATGATGCGCTGTAATACACTACTGGGGTTTTATTATTATTATTATTATCATTATTATTATTATTATTATTTTATTACCTACATTTTTATGAGACATGAACAAAATAAACATAGGGCTTGGATGAAGTTCAACATTGATTATGGATAATTACACCCATGGTGTATAGTTGGAAGGTCCTCATTGGTCAAGCCTCCATAGATGAGTTGGGTTACAAAAGCAACCAACGATACTTCATGCGCTCATTCATTCATATCATAGCTTGGTTTAAAACTCTAAATCATAGTTTAGCATTTTTAGCATTATTATGTAGAATTTTGATTATTAGCCACATTTGAAAATCAGATTGATGTTTTGATAAAAATTTAACTAGCCTCATTGGAAGATTATTTCTGATTTATTACCACTGATGCGTCTATTTGTGAGTTGAATGTTTAATATTTCAGAAATGCTTCAATCTTGTCGTAGGTCAAGGCTGAGACTGATATGAAAATTTAGGTGATGTTTTAAATACCATACAGAATATTCTACAGCTTAATATAGATTTAAAAGCGCAATTGAACTTCAGTCTGTAAGGTCAGGGCTGGCTGAGGCACTCAAGACAATCCGCACTGAATCCATGTTTATGAAAAAAACTAACAAAATGTGTTGTCAAGGCCGCTGTGAAATAGATATGCACGTAGGCAGTTTCAATTTGCTGCTGTGTATGTTTCTGTTTAGGTATTAAGTTACTTCTCACAGACACTAAGTATAGAAAATACATTTGGTATAGAAATTTGAATATGTATTATGCTAAGATTTGTATACGAAAACATGCGTATTCCTATATGTTCTTACCCACATACGCCCACTTTTCACTGTCTTCACTAACTCTATCTCACACACAGATCATTGTCTATATTATAATCACAAACCTACAGTTTATATTCAACATGATCCATCAAGGTTGTATCTGCAATTCAAAATTCGATAACCGTGCAAATAAACGAAAACAATAATTTTTTTTCTCTCTTCCAGACATTAAAGTTTATTTTTAAATTGTTTATCTGTCTTAATCAGTACCAGAAAACCTTGAAAACTTGCTATTGATGAATTGAAAGTGAGAGTTATTAAAATGAGAATAGCTTCAATGATATTCTCGAGATTCTCATTGTAAGAATTCCAGAGTGGATTATCGTGGTTATACCTGCTAACTTTGTTGGCATCTGATGCAAGAGACAAAAAAAAATAAATAATTAAAATTTGTATATAGTGCCCTCTATGTAAAAATCATGAAATAGAGTACCCTCTATGTTAATTTTTTTTAGTGGTGGTACTGCTCCTGATTATTCAAATTTTAATGACAAAATCACTTCATTTTTTATAAAATTGATATGATGCATGTGATAATACAGCGTAGGTGCGAGACATAAAAAGTGGATGTTCATGCGTGAGACTCGCACATTATGCGTGAGAGTTGGCAGGTTTAGGTAGTCCAAAATTATCAAGCCTCATTCCCTTCTCCATTTAGGAGTATTTTTTTATCTAAATATTAGAAATTTGCTCTTCAAAGGTTTTTCCTTTTCCCAATGTTTTTTTATAGAAAGCTTCTTCCCCTACAGCCAGGGTGGGCATAAAAATTAGTCGGAGGCGGCCGAAGTGAGTTTTTGATTTAACACTCTGGGCCGTACCAAAACTTTGATGTTTCCAGTGCTTCCAAAATCCTTCATGCACTGCCTTTATACTATTTTATTCTCAGTTTTAATATTACTTTTTACAGATGATCGGTGTCGGGCCATTAAAAAGATGGTGTTTTCTATTCAGAGATGTTTAGCGGGCCACACACATCGTATAGCATTTTTAATGCATTTTTGTGGGCCACAACAATGTCACTGTCGGTCCGCATTTTCCCACCTATGCCCTACGGTTATTTATGGTCTTGAAGTGGACAGCTATCAAGGGGAGCTTGGTATATGTTTTTTCCATCTCATTTCTCA